GAAGAGAAAAGTTTAGTCCTTTCTTTAAGATCATAGTGGTTTCGGGCTCAACGGGAAGCGAGGATAAATTAACTGGCTTTTTTCGTTCATCGTACTGATCATTAGGTGTCATCGCTTTGGAAGCCCCTTTAACTGGGCGCACTGGCTTTAACCTACGTTGTCTTATAATTCCATTACTAACCAATTTATTATCGTGTTTTTTTATTAAGTCAGAGATCCTATGTGATTTCTTGTCGGCCACGCTCTGGGGCTAGTAGCTCGGTTGCTGAGAATGGCAAGACTCACTGATGAGGCCGACTACGATGCCGGCGAAACGTCTAGGAATGTACCAAGTTCACGGTCCGACTCTGAAAATTATCATGCATACTACGGAGTCCGGACAAGGTGTGTTTCTTTATGTCTTCCAGCCAATATGATCAAGTTGCAAAACCAAAGTCAAACAACTTCTATACAACGAAACGAGACCGCGACCATATAAAAGGCCACACCATCCTGGTCTCGATACCTTCGATTATCTATCTCGCCTTTACTATAACTTTGGTTACACTATTTGGTACTTTAATTATTTTATTAATTTTCATTTATCCCAATTCGTTTGTTATTACTAACAATATTAGTGCCGTTTTTCTTAATTACGTTAATCGTTTCTATCCTGAAGATAGGGTCATTGTATATTGTAACATATTTTCCCTTTTTGCACTTAACTTAGTGCGACCTACTATTATTATCTTATTTACTTTACCTATTATATTTCTATTATTGCCTACTATAATACATTATTTTTATCTACTGATCATATTTTGCCTGTTTATTTGTGTTTGTTTTATTTGAAGACAAATCGTCCAATGTGCCTTCTTTATCGGATACCTGGCCTTGAAGAGGACAACCTTCCTTATGTAGAGCGCCTCTCAGCGCGGCCTGTCTCTGTCGAACAGTATCAACATATCAGTGTATTGGCTGAGCACCCGGCCGGACTTCATGGTTTGCTCAGGCGTCTTGGTACTGTACGTGATCCTCTCGTCTGCCGAGAGCTGCTTGAATGTGCTGTCCATCTTTTCGAGTACTGCCTTAAGACGGAAGAGTGCAAAGTTGCCTTGGTCCGACCTCGGCTTAAGTGAGTCAAGATGTCAAGCTCTATAATGCTGCCTTTTTTAATCATCTTGGTTTTTTGCTATTCCTAGCTAGCTTCACTTTTGCTGTTAACTTGGGTCTGTTAACTAACCAATCTCTTTCTGCGTTTCCTGCAAATATAGTCTGGTCAATTGTGACTTTATATTCGGTCCTTACAATGCCATTTAACTCATATGGTGCCGATGAGACTCCCGATAATGTGCCTTGCAAAATCTCAAATAGTGGATGAACACTTGACTAAAATGGCAGAGGATGCAATATTAAATAGTTTTTTTTACATTTTTAGTCAATGCGGCTAAGTTGAGAGATTTTGGCCAAAATGGGTAATGCGAGCCAAGTTTACAATATATATTTATTGAGTTTTTCATTTTCCGCTATCCCTACCCCTCACTTCACCGTTTAGCTTCGCTACTCGACATTCTAATCTTTCTCCCAACCCTTTATCATTATACACAATGACGACTTATGAACTTCCGTCATCCTTTACATCCAACCGTCGACCATTAACATTCTCGCCAGCCACACCGATCCTACCAATAGGCCTACATCAAGCCAAGTCAACTACTTGGTGCTAATTTTAAGCTAAAATTGATATGAGAAAAAGTACTAAGCAGAAAGAACTCCTAATTAAATGAACGACTTTCTATTCCTTCTGGTGATACATCTATTTTAACCCTCTTCTCTTTGTGTGTCCTTATTCGCATCTACCTTAGTGTCCTCCCTCAACGAGTCGCCTATTAAAGGTTCAGACTGCTTTCAGGAAACTAAAATCTTTCCCCCTAAATATCGATCATTGCCTGGCTTCATTGTGTACCCCTCCTTTCCCATTTCCGCCTCATGGGAAGTAAGGAGACCCGTATTCATCAAGTGTTTATTTCCAAAGTAAAGTTCTCTAATGGCCTTGTCGTTTAGTCGACATCTATCGGAATACTCTTGCTATGAAGTAGCAAGGTGACTTTGCCGAAAGAACTACTTTAACTCAACGCCGTGTCTCATTTTTGTGCCCTGCCCTGTCGTCTATTCAGCGTGGCTTGACATTCGCAAACTGTTTCGGTTGCCTGTCTCTAGCATTCTTGTTTATCTCTTCAGCAAATTTCACACACTTGAGCATTTTTATTGCTACTACCTATTAATTTACATCTATTCATTTACAACCTGTTCTTTTCTATCCTACCTATTGCTCATCTAACGAGTTGGGCCATTTGTAAACCATAAACAGGATCAAGTTTGGGCCTATTTTTATTTATTTAACCTTCCATATCTCACTATTTAAATGTATTTAGCTTGTAAGGTAGATTAGGATTTAACATAGTGGACGATTACGGAAAAATTAAGAAAGAAAGGATTAAGTTAGTGGAATTTCGGCTTAACTTTCAGCCTCTAAAACAACTACCGACTCATATATTAAGCCACTACTCCTATGTCGGATTCCATACTATCTTCGACCTCATTCTTATTTCCGTATTATTCGATTTGGCTTAATGGAAAACACTTTGTTGCCTCCCACTTTGTTCATGACATATGCTGATTAAAAATGACCTTGTAGCCAATTAGTACTTAAGGTGATTCACTTGATCCCTGACACACCTTGGGTTCGGACTCCTTTATGGTGAAGATTAGGCCTGCATGAGGTCGAGGTTGTAGTGCACCCTGGATGAACATTCAATTTAGCATCCTTAAAAGTCATATAACAGAGTAAATGGAAAGTGATCTTTGTATCTTCGCGGATATATTAGTTA